GCAGAAAAAGCACATCAACATGTGTACCGTATAGAATAACTGACATTCAGTCGTTCATCACGTTAATTCGTCATCTTCATTCTATACAGATAAATACGTCTAGCCGCAAGGCTGTCTTGCAAGTAAGTAACGACAACCAATGACTGAATACTTACCCCAAAATTTCTTGATTTTCGTGCTTCTATGAAGATGCACTATTAACGATTCGTGCTCCTTCACATCAGTCCGTTGTCTTCTCCGCTGATTCCTCTGTCCTCCCGATACCAGCTGCCGAGGAACGGACCAGTACACGAACGTCCACTGAATGGTGCGTTCACACATAATAGCTCCACAATATCCACCGGGAAGCACCCGCAAGCAAGCAGCGCGCACGCAATCTAGTATCTTATACCACACATTGTTCCTTCTTGCGAGGGCCAATGCAGTTCAACCCTGATATTAATTTCTTTTATCTATTTTTTTAGCATTTATATACTTATTATTTACTTATTATCAATAATATATTATTATTATTATTTATTTTATTATTTTAATATCTTAATAATAATATCTTTTAATACTGATATTATAATTTTTTTATATAAATATATCTTCTTTATATATTATATAAATCATTTTTATAATTTTATTTTTAATTTATACCATATTAATATTGTTTAATAATCTTTTTTAGATTTAAATTTATTATATTATTTATTAAATATTTTTAATATTGATCACTTAGGGAAACGCCGAAACTGCCGAAGCCGCCTAGAACATTCCTTTACAGCGCATCGTTGTCCATTCATTCTATACAGATGATTCGCTACCGCAGTTTTAACTAAATATGAGCGCGAATACACATATTCGAATATATTCACACATATCGAATATACATATATTCTTTTGATATTTGATATTTGATTATCATATTTACATATATATTTATCTGTTAGCGTATCATAACTTACAAAAGTATTAAATCACATAGCTAGTCATGGTATCATCCACACACACACATACACGCACACACCCACACCACACACAACACAACATAACGCACACACTCACACAACACACACACACACACACACACACACACAGCACAACACACACACACACAGCACACACAACCACACACACACACAACACACACACACACATTATATACTATATATATATATATATTGCCTCCAACGGCAGACTATCCAGCCACCTAGTAGCGGTTGACCTGATTGTCCTGCCCACGTTCTAGACTTGCCGATCTTGCCTCCAGGGGGAAGACCACTTCCAACACCTCGTCGCATGGAATGTCGTGCCCATCTTTGACATTGATGCAGCGAGAAATCGTCAACGTTTCGCCTGTTTGACTCTCGCCGACTGCACTAGTGGCTTAAAAACCTTGCGGGCGAATGAACGGGATAACAGCAACAGCATGAAACAAAATCTTGAGTAAAAATATTGCGAACGCGCGATTTCACACCGACCTAACATGGCCGCGTTCTCACACTCCCTTACATTTGTTGCGGGCTGTGCACGACCTAACATGCCCCCGGTAGTACACCCACCTATCATAAAGCCGCGATGTCTACACCATATATCATGGCCGCCGATCTCACACCCACCTAACATGACCGCGATCTCACACCCAGCCTAACATGGCCGCGACTGTTTACACCCACTCAACTGACCGCGATCTCACACCACTTAACAATGACCGCGCATCTCACACCACCTACATCGACGCGAATACTCACACCACCTAACTAGACCACAGATTCCACACACCAAACATGACGCGATCTCACACCCAACCCTAACATGACGCAGATCCACACCCTAACTGGTA